CTCCTTGTTACTGACTATTGATGAGGTAGAGATTCCGAAAGACCCAGTGTATCCATGATATGATTAAAAGCAATTTCTTTTCAACATTATTTATATTAGTTACCAGTATATCATTGTTTTAATAAACCCATTTGGAAACGACCTTCGACCTGTATGGAATCAAAGTTCCATTAACTAGAGATAATGAGAAAGATATTGTGTGTTACATGCGTTCTAGGCGAAAATAATTCCATATACATGTATGATATAAAAAGGATGTATTCCTCATTTTTCAGAAAATGTCTTTGAGTGGCCATTACCTCTGCAAATAACTATACATTGTAATAGTAGTTGATCATGTATGATGCATTTTGTGTGTTCTTACTTAACCTCTATGGTAATATTGATATGTAAATTTGACTGTTTTAATTTTTGTGGAGGTTGATATATGACTATGTATTTATGCACCTTAACAGAGTTAAAGGGGAAATCATCCTTGATAGCAAATTAGTAAGAAAACCTGACTGGTGAAAGATTGAATGCAGTTGAAGAAAAAAATGAGAACATTTTGAATTTTTGAAAGGTGAAATCACTATACACCATATGAGCTCTTCAAATTGGCTCAATCGGTTATGTCTCTGTGATGAAGTGGCATGCAACTTTCCCATTTGCTTCAACACACAGAACGACTGAAATCTCTTGTTTTCTTCAATCCACAGACAAAATTGCCCAATTGAGATTCGCACTTCATTAGTGATCTCGTATTACAAACATATACTAATTCTCTCATTGCTCTGATTTAATTCAAATTTAGACCATTCTGTTTGTCGTATGTTTCTGCTTTTATACAAATGAAATTATTACAATGGTTGGATTGCACTTTTAAGGTTAATGCCTATCTTTACCTCCAACAGATGCAATGATCTTGATATGTTTATGCTCATGACTGAAATACTTTTGATTAAATTGTATGAATTATACCAAATGAATTGTCATAACTGTTGTACTTGTGCTTGTCTGAAGGATTGAGATTGTGATATAGTGAAAGGGGTATAGGGACATAGAGGGGGATGGGGGAAGGTGGTATATGATGAGAGTTATAGAGAGAGAGAGAGAGAGAGAGAGAGAGAGTGTGTGTGCGTGCGTGTGTGTGTGTGTGTGTGTGTGTGTGAGAGAGAAGGTGCGTGAGAAAGAGAGAGAGAGAGATAGAAAGTTTGTGATTGAGAGAGAGAGAGTGTGTGTGTGTGAGAGAGAGAGAGAGAGAGAGAGAGAGAGAAGGTGAGTGAGAAAGGGAAAGAAAGAGAGAGAGAGAGTCTGTGAGTAATTCATTGATGGGAGAGTGGGACGAAAAGTGATTGAAACTGAAAGTTGAGTAGGGAAGAAGAAGAATGACGAGGAAGGTGCAGATAGGAAAACGGAGAGACAGACAGAGAGGAGAGATAGTGATATGAGCTTTGAAGACATATAGATTATTAATATTTTTCTTTAAATTTAAATACGTCTACATCTACAGCCCTTGAAAAACAAATTATTGGAGCAGATGCTTTTGTGTTCATGGAAACAGCGGGAAAAATACCAGCAGGATTTCTAACCGCTAATTCACAGCAAATTGGCAGCTATTCCCTAGGACTGTTACCAAACTACAATGGCCCTAGACATAATACCTCGAGGGCAACTAAACCCGGAGTATTTTGGTGGGCGGGGGGTAATGGCTGAAAGGTTATACTTGTAGGGAGTAATTGCTTCGGGGAATAGTCGTGAGCGTATCGTGAAATACCGTTTAAAAATCACATTTCAAGTCATTACCGATGCAATTAATACTTTATAATGTTATGCATTTGAAAAGAGCTGGGCCCCGTCTTACAAAGAGTTACGGTTGATTCAAATCTATCGCAAGTCCTCCAATCAATCGCAAGTTTGCAATCTCCTATCTCTTATGTACATAGTTGCGATTGATGTCAATCGCAAATAAGTTGCGATTGACATCAACTCTTTGTAATACAGGGCCCTGGTCTAATCTAATCACCTTTTCACGGGCTGTATTTGTGTGGTCAGTACCACGAAGAAATGTCAAATCGAATACGCGTATATCTTATTCTTCTTTTTCTTTCTTTCATTCTTTCTTTCTTTTGTTTTGTTTTCTCTATTTTTATCTATGTCGCCCCAGTTCCTCGATTCATTCCATTTTCCATCTGAGACGACAAAGTTAACCTATAATCGTTTAAAATATTTAATTTCTGTCTCTGCTGTCATTATTGTTTATCTTTTTTCTTGCCATCACGATTCATGAGTTTTAATACTCTCTTTATATACCCCTCTCTCCCCCTCTCTCTCTCATTTTCTTTCTCTCTCTCTCTCCCTTCTCTCTCTCTCTCTCTCTCTCTCTCCTTCCTCTTTATCTCTCTCTCTCCCTTCTCTCTCTGTCTCTCCGTCTCTCCTCTTTATCTCTCTCTCCATTTTTGTCTTCTCTCTCTCCCTTTTTTTTTCTCTCTCTTTCTTGCTCTCCCCCCCCCTCTCTCTCTCTCTCTTTCTCTCTCTCTCTCTCTCTCTCTCTCTCTCTCTCTCTCTCTCTCCCTGCCCTGCCCTTCCTCCCTCTTCACTCGACAAGCAGTTCACATTCTCACACATAATAGTAATGCTGTTCATGTCTCTATTGAACTTGTATAAACTATAGTCACTGATCAGAATTACACGAGACACAATTCATTTCATATTCAATATCTTTTTTATATATTCATAATATGAAGCTCCTGTACGTATATTGATATGGGTAAATATATGTAGCATAAATATGATTACAATCACAAATATAGTCACACACGAGTTCAATAAATATATTTCTATACACTGTCGACAAATACACCTCTTACGTTTTCATATGAAGGATATAGAATATCCCTGCGTTGGACAGACTCTGTTCGATTGAAATAATTTTTAAAAGGGCATATTACTACAATCGGCAACAAAAACAAAAGAAAAAAAAACATTTGCGCTAATCTTCCATACAACACAATACCCCCTGTTTAACAAACAGAATAGCAAGCCATATTTAAGATTAATGCGAACATAAAGAATCACTCCAGAATAAAACAAACAAACAAGGCCAATCCAAGACAATTGCTAACATTTAACTCAAGAGGCCAAACTTTTGATGCAGTCCTAAAATCAATATGTACGAGTAAAGAGGGAGAAAGATAGAGGGGGGGGGGGGGGGGGAGAGAGAGAGAGAGAGAGGAGAGAGAGAGAGAGAGAGAGAGAGAGAGAGAGTTTGCATTACTACATACGCCAGGAATATGTCAAAGGACAAAAAACAATCTTTGAATTACCAACATGCTGAAGAATCATTGTCACTATTATTCTTTCCCATTCCATTTGATCCTCTTTCGCTTGTTTTCAACATGGCATTGGTTTACATGGCCTATACATTTTATAGTATTATGATTAGTTTATCGGAACATCTATACATCAAAAGGGATACGGAGTGTTGTCGTTTTGGAGAAGATACAAATAATCAAATTAGCATTAATTTAATTTAATAATATGTATATATTTTTAAGGAGGTAATTTGTTGAGTTGTGTAATATAGGATCTTCCAATTTCACATTGAAGACATTTTTTCTCGCTTTGTTAGTTTTTATTATTTTTATCCACATTACATATTTCCTTTTTTAAATAGTTTTCGTCAAAATGATCATGCCGTTGATAAAAATGAAACGTCTATTTCAGCACAAGCTCAATAGGCAACCAAACCCAACAATTCAGCCAACAATTTAATAACAAGAAACACTGCGAATTCAACCAGAATCAGAATAAGGAAGCGAAGATGATGGACATTTTAGAATTAGAGGATGTTTGATAGAATTGTCTTCACATAGAGATTACTTGGAAAAGAAAAAGCAATATGGTATTGGAAACTCTTTTTCCTCCTTGAGAAACGGAAAAACAAGAAAATGCCTAAAACTTCGCTTCGGTCTATGTCGGTGCGTGTTGCCGGAAGCATTGAATTAGGTATAGAATACACATAAAACAAATGGTAACGACAGAGAAAAAGACAAAAAAGAATCAGATTAAAAACAATTATAAGAATGGACAAGTGTTCATCATTTCCCTATGCTTCGAAATTTCAATGATGAAACGTGTTAAACAATATTATTTTCACAAAAATATGGCCTTAAAGTCGAAAACATTGACCACAAAAGCTTTAATTTATTCAATTGTTAAACTGTACATTATTACTTGTTACACTTATTGATGTATGCGCTTGACAATACTGTTTCCATGGAAACAAGCCGCCAATACACTGAACAATCTTCACGAACAAAATATGAGGAAATAGATTCCGTTCATTGTTTTCTTTTCACTTTAGTTGGTAGCTATTCTTAAAAAAAAAAAAAAAAAGCGGGGGTTTAGTTTTTTTTCGCTAAATGTAAACTGATTTGTGATGAAGAAGTTTCAAACTTCACCCCCCCCCCCCCCACCTCCCAACACACACCACAACCACTACAACGGTAGAAACAAAAATGCTTGTAATTTCACCACGTCATGTTTATTTTCAAAATGTACCCTTTTATCTGGAAGATATATCAAGAAAGAAAAGGCTGTAAAACCGATAGTTCCAGGTCACCCAGCCTCTCTCCCCTTCCCCTCCCCTATCCCATGATTGAAGGTACAACGTGGTCAAAACGTGGACGGAGACCACTAACTAAATAATTATTTACTAGTTTACGCCCACCTTCAATAATATTTATCTGTGTAGTCATCGAGGCGGACAATGTTTCTTTTAAAGGCATGGTATATTACCGACGTTGCTACCGCTGCTGTACTTAATCTTCAAAAATTGACATCTTTTGGTGAAGGCGAACAAACAGCTATTTCCGGTTCCTGTACCCAAGCACCAGTTGGGGACGTATCGTTGGACATGGCTGTCGACACATCGTGAAATTATGAGGAGCAGGGGGGCGTTTCACAAAACTTGTCATCAGTGACATAATGGCAGTTTGTGTTATAAGCTACTGAAATCCTTGCTTCTGATTGGTTATCAGCAGAATTGTCACTGATTTTTGTCATTTGTCATTGAATAAAGGCTTTGTGAAACAGGTCCCAGATGTGACTTAAATTTGAATTAGTGCCTGCAGAACACCCTGCCATTGAAATGCAATAGTTACCTTTTCAATTATTGTTACAACGAACTTTTTTTTTGTAATGCTTAAATGTAATTACCACTGTTGCATTGAATTCGTAATAGGACCATACTAATGACTGATTCACATCCAACTGACCATTGCATGTTCAAACATCTTTAACACCAACAAAAATTCCGGCTGCCCACGAAAAGGCCCCAAGAGATGTGTATTGCCAACGGCAGAAGCGACCGTAGTGCGGGCAACCGGGTAAAGGTTCTAAAATCAGATGCTGTGTTTTTGTTAGCAGATCTGAGAAACGTAAATAATCTTCTTCCCTTCTACTGTCGTCGAACAGCTTGTGACTCTTCGGTTTTTTTTTCTTCTTTTTTCATAATTTATAATCTAACAACTAAATAACTGGTTACACCAGCTTATATGACGACATTTACCTGGTCAATGTCCTACTCTAAACAAACAAACTTCAATCCTGGACCACGTGGTCTATGGCTCAATGCAGACTGTCCCGTACTCATTGACGCAACTCTTGATGTCATGTAAGCAATTCAGGTAGGACACTACAGCAGTGATGACCAAAGCCATCTTTACACATAGTTTGGACAACCCGGATCGAGTTGGACACAATATAGCAACCACTGCTTTGTTGGGCAAGCACAACACAAAAGAATATACGCCATGTTGTGACCCAGTGAAACCAAGTTGGCCAAACTCTTTGTATAGATGGCTCCGGTGATGACCAATGATGACTTTCCTTCTTAGAACTACGCCTGGTATTCGATTATATACATTCTATCGACGGGGCCGGACGAGCTACCACTATAAGTCGCGATCCTCTCCATCTAACGTACTATCTTCGCTACTGCTATTCCTGCGGTAGGGTAGGGGTTGGACGAAGGATTCCTTAGTGGTTGGGTAGACAGCACTTGATAGACCATAGCCGCCATTCGTGACACTCGTTGGCATCATTGTCTGGCCGGATTCGGTGAGGGCGCCATAGCTCTTCATTCCTCCTCCACCACCCACTCCGTTATCCGTTACGAAGCCGTCCTGTACAGATAATGGTTCATGAACAAAATATTAACATACACGTTGGCGAAATTATTACAATTTCAAGTGAATGTTTAAGACATTTTAAGCAGGGCTCCCACTTAGCCGAGTTGGAGCCACGAATTGTGGCGAGCTGGCTCGATCTTATGGCAAGCAGTTTTTTCATTAAAACATATTTCTTGATATCACGAAATCGAATTCTTGATATTTCGAAATCGAATTCTTGATAAGAAGAATTACCTGTGCTTTACAACGTAAAATTATTTGTTGATATCAAGAAATTTGTTTTAATGATAAAACGGCTTGCCATAAGATCGAGCCAGCTCGCCACAACTCGAGGCTCCAACTCGGCTAAGTGGGAGCCCTGCTTTAGACACTCTTGTTTGTTTTGCATTTTAAACTGGACCCCTCAATAGAACAGCTGTACTGCACTGGCACAGCTGAGCAGGGCGGTCCATCCAATGTTATTTTCCCATGTTATCATGTATGTTGTTATTTTATACTTGGTAAATAAAATAAAATAAAACCCCGATATTATGAAAAAAAACACGAGGGGAAAATGAAGTAAATTTTAGCTTACATTATTTAGTTCTAATACGACACTCTTAGTTTTGCCCTCCATCTTTGCTAACGCTTACACCCCTCCCTCTGATGACTATTATTTTGTCGGACAGTTATTCCCTAGTGAAAATTCTTTTGAGAAAGTAATTGATCATCTTAGTAGACGGTAACCAAGTTGGTGACCATTGTGGAAATATGCCTCAAGATTTCAGAAGCACGTTCTGGGAAGACGAGATGGGTACAGACATAATAAATTTTAAAAAAATAATAATCGTTTTAGTCCACTCCAAATTTTATTAAACCGAAAATGGAAATTCTTTTTGCCCAATTGATCGTGTGAATGAGAAAGAGAGGGAATGGGAGAAAAGGGGGAGAGGTACGTGACAGAAAAGATAAATAGAAAGAGGAATAACAGATTAAGAGAGAAGGGAGATTATGGAGGGGAAAACGAGAGAGAGAGAGAGAGAGAGAGGGGGTGACAGAAAGTCAAGTATTCATCTTCGAGGGCACATAAAAGACATAGATATGTATTTTCCCCACCTGTGCGGGTGGCTCTGCAAGTTCCGCCCACGGTTGTTTTTCACCCGACGCGAATATACCATAAAAGAGCACACCAGTAAAATGGACGATAGCTGCTACCAAGTACACTTTCTCCCATTCATCTGCAGTCTGTAAAAAAAAAAAAAAAAAATACTCTAAAATAAATGAAGTAGGATAACCTGTGAAAACTGCATAATTAGAACATGTATTATTTCACGATTGTTTGAAACTAGTTGTTTAGTTCATTAGAATCAGTAATTAATATAAAGATTGCTAAAAGTATTGATTTCTTGATTCTTGTACGTATTTATAATTCGTAAACTAAATTGTATGAGTCTTCAGACTTTTTATTCAGTATGTTTTTATTTACAATAAACCAGAATTGAAGGTGTCTCCTGTAATATTTGTATCCGTAATGTTATGAATATGTATATTTCTTGGGAATATTCATGCGTTAGGTTGAGTTGAACATCGTCAATGAAGCAAATAATCTCATCCTGACTTTGAGGTAGTTTTTATCTTTATAGTATTTTTTTATTTTATTATTTATTATTATTATTATTATTTATTTATTTATTTATTTATTTATTTATTTTATTTTTTATCTTATTTTTTTTTTTTAATTTTATTTATTTATTATTATTACTATTTTTTATTTATTTATTTATTTTTTATTTTTTTTGGGGGGGGGGGTAGCCGGATTTTATTTTAAGGAAGGAGGAGAGGATAATTCAATAATTGTTTGAACCACCCCAACGCAATGGAGAAAAAATTGTGTTTTATTTCAAACTTCTCTTTGAGAGCTGAAATCTCCCCAACCCCTGTACTAATGGAGAGATGCGCATGGTAATAGTTGGGGTACGGGAGTGGAATTATTTGAATCATGACCTAAGATCCAGTTCTACAATTACCAGATTTAAATCAATGTATACAAAAAGTATTTTTCAATCCATGGTTGAGTAGGTACTTCTCTTTCCCATCTTTTTCTACTCTTATCTCTTTCTGCCCTATTTTTTGCTTCCTTCTATTCTTTCTCTGTAACCTTCTTTATGAACGTATGTGTGTGTTGATGTACGAGTGCGTACTTGAATTATTTAAGTCCTTTACCTTTTATTGTTAATTTATGTGCATTATCTTGTTATTGTTTGTTTGCAGGGCCCCGATTACAAGCAGATTTCTGCTTCTTAAAGGTCCTAACCATTATATTGTATATTGAACTGAAGTCGCTGGTCGGAGTATCAATATTACACAATAATAGTAATAATATCAATACTAATAATTAGCAGTGCCCAATAGCGTATGTAGCCTTCAAGCCCCTCCTCTCCCCCAACGCCTGATATGCATACGCGAGGAGGTTGGAAAAGTGCATATAACATTTTCTTATGTCTTTCCCCAATCAGTCAATCGGAACAAACCCGAAAGACACCAGACAGACACATACCTACTCTTATCCTTTATAATGTAACACTTTTCTCCTCCTTATTTCGTTTGTATTTATAATCAAATTCAAATTTTAATATGTTGTATTAAACGTGATATGCAGCTATTGTTAGTTGTATAATGATGTTCAATTTCGTCTTATTAACAAGCTTTTTTAGAAAGTATATAGTTTCTTTGTATTTCGAAGGGCCCCAACAAAAGCAAGTGTATACGCTGATTGTGCTACCTTTTTTTTTTAGATACGTGATATACATATTTAAAAAAAATAATCCCTTCTACCCCCCCCCCCCCGGGCCCCACCACTGTCATAACCCTTTGCGATGTATACTTACATGGTTTTTCGTGAGATTCCCCGTGACTTCTGGGCAGATGATTCCCGATAACGTACCTACAGCATTCGAAATACCCATTAAGATACTAGCATACCGAGGAGCAATATCTAGATGATTTACGTTGAAACCTGAAAACAACCACCACAAAAAAGGCATTTGACAGAAAATGTCACTAGTTATCCACTTATAAAACTCAACTAAAGACATACCTATTTCAGATTGCTTACAATTATTCACTGCTTTTTTGTCTTTCCCAGCAGTTAGAGTCATGAACAGAAATTTGTGGTAGATTGCCAGTCTCATCAGCGCAGTTGATTAGGCAACTTAATATTGGTGCTTTATAAACACCTGGATTGGATGAGATTGACTTTCAAGAATTTACTTTATTGGAAAGCTCGAACAGTTATGGTCAAGAAACTAATAGTTACATCGCTCCATGATGGTAAGACTTGCACACAATCAACTTAAGGTCAATTTCATAACTGTTGTATATCCCGTAGTCTTCATATTACGTCATACGATTATAATTTCGCATATTAATAGGCGACGCACAAGGGAACTCATATGCCTTCTGTTTAATTTCGAATGTCTTTTCAATCGTGGTTTAGTGGATATACACTAACACAAAAATTAAGGTCCTCCCTCTATATTACAGGAAAAAAATGGGCATGATAAAAACATATTCATCATGATTGTGAGAGAAAAATATCAACTATCATAAATAACACTCTTAAATTGATTGCAATTAAACAGTTTCACACATGTTTTCCATAATCTCCGGATTACATAATACTTTAGAGTATTTTTCAGATTACGTAATACGATTATAATGTCCATACATTACAATAGCTGACAGGCAAGGAAACACACATTGCTTTATGTTCATTTTCGAATGTCTTTGCAATCGTGTTAGGTATATACACACATCCTCTTAAACTTACAGAACATAAAATATTGAACATAGAAAACATGGTTCATCACGATTATGAGATAAAGTACATCAACTAAAATATGAATAGATCTCTCAAACGTTATCATAAATTGACAGCAATTGAAATGTATCATTATGTACCTGATATAGCAAAGCCACTAGAGCCTACAGCTAAGCACAGAGATATAATGGCCATCATACGACCTCTTGAATATGCAGTAACCAGCAAAAATATCGCCTCACCACCAAAGCCTGCCAGAAAATAAAAAGAAGGAAATTGTTCATAAAATTCCATCTCTTTAGTGTTAGTACAGGAAAGACGTCGCTAACATGATTAATATAATTCTAGAGAGTCCGACACATACATAATGGATTAAGAACTAATACGATTTTTTAATATGAATTAACGAAATGATTTCCAACTTCAGACTTAGTATGAGAATGTGATGTCTCCTTTTATTATTATATAATGATTTTCTCCTCTATGTTAGTGTACCCGAAGCAAATCGCATTCATCGTCGACTCCAAGTTTTAAGAAGTTTTATTTGCCATTGTCCTATTCTAAATATTCCTTGTCCTCCTCCTTTTCTTTTCCTTTTCTTCTCCGTTTTCTTCTTCTTATTTTTTCCATCTCCCTTCTTTTAGGAATTCCATTTCATTTCTTTGTCACTAATTATCTAACTTACCCCTCTTACTCACAAGTCATCCAACTGGTCTTTTGTATTTGTTCCCTTGGTCGCGTATATCTGATTAATTCCTCTTTCCCTGTTTTTCTTTCAATTGGACTATATACAACAACGTGACTTCAATCACTATGTAGAAATCATTTTCAGAATGAAAACCTACCTCCGCAGTTGAAGACTTTCCTGACCATAGTGGTTGACATATATTTTCTTCTTCGAAGGAAGTCAGCGAGTTGTCCACCAAATGGAACGATGATCGCCATGACGAGATGAGGTAAAGCCGAGATGAACCCAACCTAAAATATAGGAAAATGCAATTTATTTAGATGCTGCTCAAAGGGTGCTCAAGAAAAACAGGTACAAATAAATGTTGATTATTCTAAATATTATTTGTTATATGTAATGCATTTTAAGTAAAAGACTTAAAGCTCCCAGCATTTCATGAGATATACGGTTAGTATTTATGTTGGTTTTAGGTTTATCGTTGCGTTAGAATAAGGTACAGTGACAGGTCCTGAGTTGAAATTAAGAATTCGGTTGGTCTGTAAATGTAGTGAATTACCATGGGCCAATTGTCGCAGGTGCAAGCGTTAATCGTACAACCGTTCATGACAACCAAAAAGTATAGATCAAGGACAGTACGACATAAACCCCTACCTTAGATATTGCGTAATCAAACACTTGTTCAAAGTAAGATGGCTGACTGGTTAAGAGTAGATAGAAGGTCCAACTACGACAGAAGTTCGCTACGATGATGGCATATACTGGCATCGATGTGAAAAACTTCTTCCAGGGAACGTTGCCGACCTGCAATATTGAGAATCATGAAGGTTAACCCTTTGCTTACTGGAACCTGGTGGTCCCTGTGTTAAGCCTATGGGACCTATACAATTCAGTAGTCATCGGGTTAACAAAAGGAACGTTGGGAAATAATAAAATGAATCGGTGCGGAAATGCAGTAAAACAAAGCTTGCCATTGCTGAAGAATTATATAAATGCAGATTTGATTATTTTTTTTCATATAAACAATACTATAAATAGCATGTTTGCAAACAGACCAAACAATTACTGGGAAATGATGTAGTGCCTATAATTATGTCCGAAAGGGTGGTTAAAGCATCTAAAGATTTATATTTTTGACTGCAATTCGACATCAATACTATATTTATATGACGCCCCCATCCTCTCTGCCCCCCCCCCTCTTTTCTCTCTCTATCCTCCGTGACTTCTCCTAAATGCTCTCTTCAAATAGAAGTCCTGTTTTTTTTTTGTTTTTTTACCAATGGTAGGATTCTTAGCTGGTGTTTAAGCCCCCTCCCACCCCCCCCCCCTCTCTCTCCTTCTTCCATATACTCTTCTCAATCTCATCTTACCGTAATCTTTTGAGTGACTAGTCCACGTCCCTCCCCAATGCTCTCCTCGATGTAATTCCTCTCTTCTTTACTGATGTATGGATGCTTGGCTGGTGTCTCGTAAACTACCCACATGAAGAATGCATACCAGATAATTCCCATACAACCTAATATCATAAAGAATAACAACAAAGAGAAAATGGGACTGTTATGTACATGAATCATCCATGACTGAGGAAGATCTTAGTTGGTCTAGCGGTGATGTCCGTGGTACGGTCAGCTCGCTATCTTCGCGCGTAAACTGACTCAACTGACCCCGGTTTGAGAATGAGTCATGTCTTTCGGACGGTGACGGTAAAGGTATAGACCAGTATTGGAAACGCCCTCTCAAATAAATGAAATAGAAGCTATTATTACCAATCATGTGAAAGAATATGTTAGGACTAATAATAATAATACATGATGATACAAATTTTACCGGGAAAACCGCCTACCAAATGATATATTTGGTAAATTATCATATCGATCCGGCCTCGATAGATATCGCGAATGCACTTCAACATTGAATATTTGGGCATTTTCTGCCTTTTTTGCGAATTTAGGTTGAAGTATTGTCATCTAAAACCTCTGTAGGCAATATTTAAACAATTTTGAATGGATATTTTGCACAAAAAAACCCTTGAACCGCAGTTTTACCACTACCTATATCTTTAACGTTCTTACCCCAGACGTAAATATTCATATCTGAATGATACACGTCTGTAAAAAAAAAAGATCATTAATTAATGAAATAAAGTATCAGAATCACTCACAATGAACTAATTCATGAATTTAAATTTAATATTAAAATCCCTGACATCATATGTTTCCCTACTATTTTACTTGTCACCGGTGAAATTATTGAATATTTAGTTAGTTTTAGTAAACTATCATTCATTGATATTCTTTGTTTTACAATTAAAAGAGTGAATACGAGTGCATACAAAATGATTAGCGTCTTGTTAATTTTTTGAAGAGTTCTGAAACTGAAACATTCGATATTGATTTGATTTGATTTGATTTGATTTGATTTGATTTGATTTTATTTTATTTATTTGTACCAACAGTATCATATAATATAATAATTTTTTGTCAACAATTGTAATTTTTCTTTTTTTTCTGTTATATCTATGTTGAATACATTTAATCTATACGTATCGTACTTACCAAAGACATAGAATACTGATGGCCAGCCCGCATAGTCTGTCAAGATACCCGCTAGAGGCATTCCAATAACAGCCCCAGCATACGAACCTTTTATATTGAGAAAAGAAAAACGATAATAAAGATGATACATTTCCCGAATGCAGATATTCTGGAAGGTTTCTTTTCTTTTCTTTAATTTTTTTAAAAATAATTTATTCGGCACTTTCAAGAAATATAAACAATGAAACCATATTCTTTTTTTTTGTATATCCATCCATCTACAGCCCAACCGCTTACGATGGTGGTCTCCTGCGTTTTAAATTACCTCTCTAATTTATTGGAAAATATTTACTACATATTTATCATCTCATTTGTATGTTTTGTACATGTTTATCGTATGATATAATTGTAAATGATTTTCTATTTAATAACTTTTGTAAACATTTTATTCATTGTATTTTTTATTGTTCGAATTGTTGTACTTTGATTTTGAATTTGTATCTTTTGAACGCACCCAATAAACAAAATCACGTGAAAATCACGTCAATATCAAGGTATCGACTTGAGGAGAGTTACGTTCTTTAAACACCTGACATTTACGTAAATGTGTTAATACGTTTATTGCACTAGGTAACTTAAAACACACGTACACCAAATCACGCAATTGTCACTTCAATATCACCATAATAATAACGTGATTATCCCTACCTTGAAGACCATGGTTTGTAAACCTAATACTCCCGTGTTTGTTTGGTTATGAAATTACATCTTCATAAACGAAATTATCGCGTCACAGAAACACGTGAAGCGTTAGTGATAGTTTTGGTCAAAATATCTGCGTGAAATTCACGTGAATATTACGAGGCTGACTTGAGATGAATCATGTTCTTCATTCACGTGAAATTTACGTCGAAGAGGAAGTATGTTACTGTAACCCGCGTTCAACCCAATAATTACGCAAATGTTACACAATAAATGAACCAAAATAATAATAATCATCCCGTTTCTGAACATCGTGTCTTGGATCTTCCATAATTACGTCCAGGCGCGCTGGTAGCAGTTTGGGGTTAGAGGGGGTTGGGGAGGGGTGGGTGCAAACATCCCAGAAGAGAAAGCTAGTTGCAGCAACTGGTCCAGTTGATGAACCATTTAATGCCAACTGGTAATCCTGGAAATTAAAATGGGCTAAATGATCCAGTTGATCCAGGCCAGTTATACTTCAACTGGTCTAGCTGAGCCATTAGAACCATTTGGTTAACTTCCAACCAGTTGAACAGCAACAATACTTCAATACTGGTACGTCTGTATTTCCAATGTAAAGGCATTGGTAATAAGTAGACTTGCGTAATTTAATTAATCGAACAAATTTCGTATACTTGTACTTTATTGAAATTATTTTAGTTCATAGTTAATGTTTCCCTTATTCATGTTTAACTAAATGTAATTTATACGAAGTAGCGAAATGTCCTAATAACTGGTAATTTATATTTGTAGTATTTTCGAAATGAATTGCATATAACTAAATCATCAGTAATTAAGAAATATGCTGTAAATTCAGATAAATTGTTTGAAAACATAGATCTGCACGCACCCCATTTTCAATATGCAAATTAACTGGTGTCAGCTGGTTCAACTCGAAATATGCCAACACTCAGTCATCAACCGGTGCAACTGGAAATATGCACACTCCAGTTATCAACTGGTGCAATGAAAATATGCCAACAGTCAGTTATCAACTCGTGAACATAGAAATATGCCAACAGTCACGATATTATCACCACGGAACTTAAAAGGTAACTGTGAAACCATCAAGACACCCAAGAATAACTCATTTACACACCTGGAAAACACGGAATACCCAGCTTATATAAATAATCCGTTTGAGTCACGAGATCATCACCGCGGAACTGCTGGCAACGTTGACTACCATTTAAATAGGTGTTTTAAGACACCTAATAATTACTAATTTTTCACACCTAAAAGTCACATATGCCCAGCTTAGATTAATATTACATTTGAGTCACGAGATTATCACCGCGGAACTGCTGGCAACTTTGACTACCATTTAAATATGTGTTTTAAGACACCTAATAATTACTAATTTTGCACACCTACATATCACGGATTCACAGCTCAGATTAGTAATCAGCTTGAGCCACGTGATCATAACCAAAAAATTTATGGTAACTTTGAAACCATTTAAAGAGGTGTGTAAGACACCTCCGAATTACTAATTTAATATAACCAGAGATTCACGGACAGAACAATAAGACGATTAGCCGTGTAAGTAACGTGATTATTACCATCAACCTTGGATAACATGTGAAACCAATCGATAAAGGTGCTTACAAGACCAAATAATTACGTATTTATCGCCACCATCGGTTAACGGACAAAAAACTCGTTGCTTGGTCAAGTGGTTATTTGGTCATAAACACTTTATTTACAAAGGTAAGTGGAATCACGTTACTCCAGTCGCGTGATAAACTGGTGGTATTTAGGTTAGATGAAAACGTGAACAGGAATACCTTTTTTGTTTAAATGAAAGCACGTGTCGATAACGTTTAAATCTAGTTCAAAAGGCACTATACTTTAAAATCACTTAAAATACACTCCCAAAAGAGGTTACTTTTTAGTGTTCTGTTTATTGGGCAGGCATAAATCAATCAAACAAACAAATATAATCAAGGCGATTACAATTGTTTTTCTTTTCCTTCTTTTTCTTCTTCTTCTTCTTCTTCTTCTTCTTCTTCTTCTTCTTCTTCTTCTTCTTCTCTGTCTGCCTTTCCTGTTACTTCTATTAGTTTCTTAACTTCATTATACTAGTACATGTGCGCATAATGCTTTGGAGGAAGTATACGCTATATTGGCTTCACATTACCCTTGACATTACTTTCTGAAAACTAGAATTTAGCATAACAGACTCGTGCATCATTTATGATATGTATTATTTACAGAGCTAAAATACAAGAAGAAAATGAAAAAGGGTATGAATTTGTTGACATGCAAGTATGTTAGGGAACCTAAAGTACAAGCTATGCTTTCCTAGGTTTCCTCCGCGATACAGCAATCAAATAGATTAGTCTCAATTGTATATTGTTACTGCTTTGTACGTACCATATTATGTATATTTCTCGTTTGTTGATATATTAATTGGAATGACTTTGTAAATTTGATTTGCTATTATTGTGGAAATAAATGAAATGAAAAATGATAAATGTTGCATCACTGACCTGAGAAAGCGATAGTAGCTAGCTTACTCCTCTCGAGAGGGGGCGCCCACTTACTCCACATCCCATGGCATGCTGGGTACTCCACACCCTATACACAAATATAACAAGGGATGTTAGGGAGCGGGATGGAGCATAATACTAAAGATAAGCTGGAGTTCTGGTAATAATATACAATACATTTTCACAATCACAGAATTCAACAAGACTTGCACTGAATGTTCAACATCACAAATAAATGACTTGTACCAAATGATTTTGGTAGCAAATGTATAGGGGCTGAGTAATGAGCATGGACAGATAAGAAAATCGGGAGTAAATCGGCCCGACACCATGTGTTTGACACAGGTCCCTGTGTGCAAATGAGAGTTTTGTTTTTTATTGAAGATGATTTCAAGCAAATTTGTGTGGGTTGTTTTTTACTGGTTCAAACAATCAATGTACTGCAGGATAAACAATCAAGAATGAATTATAACTATGCTCTCTCGACATGCGATGCCGATACTAGAGCAAAAGATTAGCTTGAAGTAAACAATTTTAAAGATAGATTGTAATACCTGAATGGGATTTGTGTGCCTATTTGGTTTCAGTTTGTACATCATAGGTTGGATTCCAGTGCATGATTATAATAGTCATTATGAACAACAACAAAATCTATGGTAGCTTTAAATAGAAAAATATAGAAATGTACGAATAGAGCACCTCAGTACTTTGGCAATTTTTGGTGTATTTGGGGATTATCTTTCACTATAATTTGGTGATTTTCAGTTAAAATTTAATTGATCTTTCAAAATTTAGATTGATTGTTTATATAAGTCCCATATTAATGTAACATTATGGTTTTCAGAAGTTGAAATAAAAAGTTTGGTTTTTTCAGGTGTCGTCACCACAGTTATGAAAGAAAACCTGTTTAAACATCACCGTTAAATTTAAAGATCTGCATGCGGCTCAAAAAGCGATAAAATTAAGATAAGAGCAATGTATTGAATATACTCAGAGAAATAATAATTTTAATATGAATTTAGGTTCAAACAAATAATATCAAATGTCGGTAATCTGTACCATCAATATGAGAACCCAGAATATTAAATTTCGAAATCTTCCTGGAAGGGGGGGGGGGGGCGTTTCATGAAACAACTAATTGTTTCATGAAATGTCCCCCCCCCCCCATTGTCATACGGGGATCGTCTATACGTACCTCAACGAAGCCCTGTAGCATCCTGATAGCGATGACCATCATAGGACTCACGTGACAAGCCATGGGTATTAAGAGATTTAAAATGGACGAAATAAAGATAGCTGTGGCAAATATTCTGAAAATAAGAAAAATAGAAAGAAAGAAAAAAATTATTATGCTTCATTTTTTTTGTTCGAAGGTCCAAGATTTAAAACACAGTATTATTTTAAAGAATATGGCTAGATCGCTCTATTCATAGCTATTTCTAGAGGTCCAAAAAGAAAGAAAGGTAAATAGATTTAAAAAAAAAATAAAAAAATACACTATTACAAATACATTAATGTAACACAAAATATATATTTTTTTCTGCAGTGTATTGTAGTGCATTGTCACGTCATTTGCGTCATATCTTACCTGTTTGCAGGAAACCTAGCGGCAAGGAACCCACCCGGTACTTGAGTTATTATGTAACCCCAGAAAAATGAACCATGCATCGCACCTATCGTCTTAACACTCCAATCGAACTCAGGCTCCTGGAGAGAGAGAGAGAGAGAGAGGGAGAGAGAGGAGAGAGAAAGAGAGAGAGAGAGAGAGAGAAAGCGAGATAGAGAGATATAAAAGAGAGTGTGTGTGTGTGTGTGTGTGTAAGAGAGAGAGAAAGAGAGAGAGAGAGCGGGAGAGAGAGAGAGAGAGAGAGGGGGGGGGGTAGCGAGACAGAGAAAACAATGCAAAGATGCAGAAAGACAGAGACAAAAACAGAAAGATATAAAGAAACATCAACAGAAACGGAGACAAGGAGAGGGAGAAGAAAAGACAAAGAGACAGAAGGGGAGAAGAAAAAGAAATGATAAAGATAAACTAAGAAGAAGAATATTATAACTCTAGAATGTCATAGACAATGACTAACATTTTACGAAGGAAGATAATAATACATAATAATGTGGTTTTAAAGTTAACATGTATTTGGCAAAATCACATTAATGTAGAACGTAGAACAATAAAACTTAGGACTAAATCTCAAAGCCCCTTCAACCGTTGCTCAGTAGAAAATGTCTATAGTTAATCCTTCAAAACATTATATGGATGATTATATTATGACTAACAAAGGAAAGTAATAGAAAATATCAACATTTAGTCATTGGAACCTTTCATTCATTATCCATTCGTCGTCATACGAGTCATGACTGACCCTTTGTGACCCTTTTGATGATGACGTTCCAACCACTTCTATCCTGGGTATAGCGATTAGATGTGCATATGTTCATTCCAGTAATCTCTTTTATTCCATCAGCCCATCGAACTTTTGGCCTACCATGTTTCCGTTGACCCTCAACATGACCTTGGGTAATGATCTTCATTTCCCATTATGACTGATAAAAGATGATATATCATTCATTCATAGTCACTTACGTGTAATTGTGCTACTCCTCCAAAATGGACCGTCTCATTATTCACCATATCAACGATGGCCACGCCCAGATTACATCTTATCCCGAAAGATATCAGAAACCCAATACAGCTCATAATCGCCACTGAATAACGTTTGGGAATCCACGCGCAACAGGTGGGCGCGGGGCAGCAGTCGCAGCTCCCCGGACAGCGTTTCCGGGCTCCGTACCCGTACGTGTTGTGATGGAACTGGAATGATTGGCGTGGCGTTCCATTTTCGCCGCCATCGCTGGCGTTGACGACGTTGCCGTCAGACGTGATTTCGAAAGGGCCGTTCGCTTCGTCGGCGATTAGCGACGATTTGTCCTCTTTCCTCTGTGTTAATCTGGATATTCAGGAAGAAAATGAGAAAGAAGAATATTGCAGTTAATTATCTATAAATATTTTGCCATCAGCAAACCACTAAACAGATTTTGATAAGGAGCTAGAGAGTTAACAACTTAATGATTTACACCTTTGTAAATGTGATGCTTTTGTGGTCTTCATAACTCAAGGGTGAACGGAGGGCTGGTTGAATTAGGGCTCGACGTTGTATGCTTTTAGATGTAAGCTTGTAATACGTCACATTCCCAAAAAACATAAATAGGGACAAATCATATTTCATATACTTAACAAAAATACAAAACTTAGCAAGGGTATGAATAATTTAGTTGTTAACTGTATATGAATAACGACCACAAATAATCCTAGGAAATCGACTATGTAATCAACAGAAGGTGATTTCTCAATAGGCCATGACTGACATGAAATCTAAGGTCAATATAATAAAGTATACAATTTGTTCTTGAATATGTTACATTTACGTATAAAAGTTAAATTTGTATTTGTCTAACCCTTTTCCTATGCTGTTTTGCTTTTCTTCTTTCTTTCTTTCTTTCATCTTTCTTTTTATGCTTTTATCGCTTCGTCATAAGCGAATTTATTTACGAAGAGCCTATACATATACGCTCAAATCCTTACAGCATTGATTATTTAATATATACAAGGGGATATGTAAAAGTATATCCTTTCCCTCCTTCCTTACCTCCCTCACTATCGACTAATCATTAGATTTGTATATTTGATCTTAACATCACTATAAATTTCACCCTGCCAGAGATATTTTCTTGATTTTGTTTCGCTGTGTTCTCTAGAACTCGCCTAAAGCCTGGCGCAATATTAGACTCAGTCTCCTTTTCTCATTGGAAAATCAATCCTTAAAAACATTATTGGTCTAAGAAAAAAACAGAGAAAAATATCACGTAAGCACAAATCCAATATGGTTGATCAAGTTTTTCAATTTTTAAAGTTGCTCTTGGCTTTTTGGTAACATCACAAAATGTAATTATCAAAAAAAATAACCTACGTGAACTGACAATGGTTTCTAAAAATAGGAAACCATTATGATAACGTACACGATTTCACGTAAAACTAAATTAATTGTATTTGAGGTGTGAACGAGCAAACCAAAAAATACACGAATCTTCAGGGCCACTATGCTACCATGTAGAATATTACGCCTGCCAATGCATGGAATATGTTATACTTTGGTTGTAATTTTACGAAGGAGGGGTAAAGTTTGATTTTGTTTAAAACATTCGTTATCTTGTTAACGATTCGGAATTCTTATGAGACAGTTTATCACAAATTCGGTTTCATTTCCGGGACTGAGACTCGAATTTAAGAAATTTCAACAGCAAGTCCGACGCAAGTTTGTAAAAGATTACTCTCAATTGGTGTAGCGATATTGGATAAGGGGCAGTCCCCCAACAGCTCCACCCCCCCCCCCCCCGCCATCCCCACCCCACACTGATCGGCGAAAAATGGCAACATATGCGGTTAGGAATAGAAACGGTGAAAGAAAGGGGATGGAGACTGCAACGTATTAATAGAGAATACCGTTCACTTCTAACATCATATCTTGTTCTCTGGCATTGGTAACATGCATTATCATTAGAGCTGTTAAACCCTCCCTCCTCAGTGGTTGGACGGCGAGATACGCCACTAGTGCTTGGTTATCATTGTATCTGTAGGGTTCACCCATATTTGAATTTCCCGAGAGAGCTTAGAATTGTGTTAAAACTAACCCTCTACGGCGAAATCCGAAACTAATTTTCAAGATCTTCGCTGACAAATACCAACTCTGAGCTGTCAAAACTATATTCAAACGAGCTTCCTGGCTGCATAATGTATTTTTGTCGTTCTCCTTTTATTCTCTCTGTCATATTTTGTTTTGTGTCCAAGTGGGGGTAAAAGCGTATTTGAAAAATTAAAATCAGCATGTCTTCCATGAACATAGACTTGGTTCTATCATTAAATTTCACTTTAAGAGTCCAACTATAAACGTAATTTCCTCATATTTCAATACAACTTTCAAAATCTAAAGTAGATATTATAGCAAAATTAGATATTCTAACATAATATCATAAAATTATGGTATTATTATTATATTCACAAAAAAAGATCATGTTCTTAACCTTGTTCCTTTTTTTATCTTTGTGGGATGGAAATGTATGATATCATATTGAATGTCAGCAGCTTTTAACGAACTCATTCTTACGTTGATATCACTGAAAACGCATAAAATGCCACCGGTCGTACAGTTTCGGTTGAATACATTAATTAGAGTTTTCCTTCCATTAATTATTAGTGAGATGTTAAGCACACATGATATATATCTGTAACGTCTATTAAAGTAGACACCTTTATTTATTTAAAAAAATAATAACAAACATTTATGAATAACTTTATTGTTGAATTCTAGGAAACGGTTTGTTCTACTACATAGACCGCAAAGTACGAACGTCTGTAGTATTTTTTTTTATGTATATAGATCAGACAATGTCTACTTTTCCAATCGCTACAAATAACGTTGATCTTTTGCAGGTCAAGGCTTTACCGTCTAAAGAACATCATCTAGTCACTACACGACAAAGATACAGACAAAAATATCAGAGAAAGAGAATCCGCTTGTCAGAACAATTTCCCGCGCACCGTTTGCTTCTAGAGCAATCAGAGAGGAGAGATTGCTCATTTTCTTGTTTTTCAAGGCTACCATATCTATCACAGGTAGTGGTTATTTGTGGATCGTGGGTCGTGCGAGAGGATGAGGCAGTGTTCGTGTTTTTCTTTGGTGTGTTTATATTGGAACTCACTCCTGTATGAGTACAGTGGGACGTGTCCCCCCCCCCCCCCCGTCCCCCGGGATCGCCGCCCCTGAGTACAGTCAGTGGGGGTCCGGGGACATTGCCCCCTCCCCGGTTGCAACCCAAGCCAGCATACCCGAAATACAAAAGTCAAAGAATGTTGGAGTATAAAGGGAACTACCCCCAAAAGATGACATCTGCGAAAAAAATCCTGGATCCGCAACTGCAATATGGGAAACCAGTGTTATCTTTATGTTGAGGATATGAACTATACTATTGTAAAAACCTATAGTATTACGATTATTATGTTTATATCAGAACTTGCTCTATGAATTGAATAGAAATCAAATTCAATGTGCTACTTAAATATTATTCAAACAGCAACAATAAAGTGTATAAACATATGACTTATACACAACATACTGTTCATTTCTACTCAAATAATGTTGCGGATGAGAAGCTTCAGCGCACTCATAACATTTAGCTTCTGATGGTAATGACCTTTGCTTAATATGAAACCATTTAGGATATGTCCTTTCATAATAACGTCTGGCTTCACGATCAAAGCCCTTTGTTTATAACGACGATATGTATGGGCGAATTGTTATTATCGAGGAAAGCATTGTTGTAATCGTTAAAATGTTACCATGTAAATTATACGGAAGGATAAAATGGGCAATGACGTCACAATAGACCTCTTACTGATCCTTGAGGAATGACGATATAATTATGAATCGTACCTAATTGTTCATCGGGAGACGTAACAGTCTCGTTTGAATTTCTCCAAAGAATACTGCGCTTAGGAAAGCATCTCTGGGTATTATAATACTTACGGAAGATAGATCCGACATTGAGGAGTGAAAACAAAAAAACTTCACACCCAGTTTCCATTTGTATGTGTCTTTCTGCCAGTAACACCGCCCTCCCCCACCCATCCTTCTCTCTCTCTCTCTCTCTCTCTCTCTCTCTCTCCTTTTATCCCCTATCTTCCTCTCTTCCTCCGGTTTTATTTGAGTAAAACTGTCGTGCCCATGCACCGAGACCGGAGTCACCATTAAGTAGTTTTTTTTAACAGACTGGGATGAAATGTCTCTCTTGTGAGTGGCACAACGCATAAACACACGTTTTCCGATCTAAATAAAGGCAAGGCGGAAAGTAGAAATCACAAACCATGCCAACGATGGGTTGCTCTGAAATATTTAACAGCGAAAACGTTTAATAAAGCAGGAAAGAGAAACTCGTTATAAATATGCTAAAAGCATATATCAAAATGAATAGAAAAGCGTAGGATGGTTCGATGTGTAGGGTATTTTAGTGAAGAAAATGCACATAGAGACCTTTCATGTATATAACAACTGTACGAATGCTCAGTAAATACTTACTTACTAAAATACGTACTAAAATTAATAATTTCATCGCACATGGATATAATTAACATTTTATTTATAAGATACTGAATTGTTCATGATTGCGTTTTTCCAATATACACTTTTGGGGGGTATTTATCTCGATAAATTGAATTTCACTCTTAATACTGATTATAAAAAATATTTAAAAAATGATAATTAAAAGATTAACATGGAACCGCTGGAACACAAATCCCAACTCCAAAGTCTTCGCATCGAACAGAAGGGGTCGGTTATCAGTATTAATAACAAACTGTGATTGCGATTATGTTTGAGTTGTCTTTAAATATTGGACCAGAGCTGGGTGGTGCTTGTATTCACTAGGCTAAATGAGCTGGAACAATGCAACGATCTGCATGTATACATCAACGCAGCCAGCGGAACGGGAGAAATCAGTGGCATTGCAAATTAGAATTGAAGTCTGGTATACACAATATAAAATATATCCGGCATTTCTCCAACCCTGATGAGGAATGGCTGACATTGAAATGAAACGTCGACGGTCCTTATTTTGGGTTCATGTAATTTTTGTATAGATTTGTTTATAGAGTGATTGAAATAAATGGAGTTAATTGATTTATAGGCCACAATTATCCTTCGTTATATTGATTTCTCGTTAATCTTCATCATTTATAATTTTGACTCTCATATAATCATGGAATAAACATAAAATGTTCGTATAACTCTGTCTTGAGTTTGCCTTCATATGTCTTGTCAGTCAGTGGTTTGTATTACTTTTATGGAAACAAATCGAGATGGCATGAAATTATTGGGTAATGTGAAGAGGCATG